TGGCCCACGACCGGGTATTTTCCCCTTCCGGCCAAAAAACTCAATCGCCCAAATTTTCGACCTCTCCTGCACGACAGCACCAAAACAAGGCATAACAGACGACCGAACTTCACCACAGACATGCAACTAACTCAAGACGACACAAAAAAAAAAAAACTCAGAATAAAGGGAAAAAGAAATGCAAACCGTGGTGGGGTTGCCTCCCCACAAGCGCTTCTTTACCGTCTTTTAGCTGGACGCCAATTGGGATACTCAGGGAGGTGCAGGAACAGGTGCCTCCAAGAGCGGATCCACGTCGCTCTTGAGGTACAACTTCAGGTTGTGGCCATGCACCCGACGGATGCGACCACCATCATCGGTTAGCTCGACCTGGCCATCTGGCAAGATGCAGGCGAGTGAGTACCCGGACGGCCAGGGTGGTCGTGGTGCAGGAGGTGGAACCAGCTCGTAGTGGTCTCCACCCTTCTTCTGTGCAGGCTTAGCAACCTGCTGCTTCGGCCGCCGCTCCTCCTTGATCTTTTTGTTCGGAGGCGATACTGGATGGAGTGGCGGCGAAGGAATGATAGGAGGGCCCTGCAAAATAAGAGGTGCAGAAGGATACACGACAGGCTCGTGTACCTGATCAGAAATGGCATGTATAGGCGTGACAACAATTATAGCACAGTGATCGAATTCAGTCACAGAAAAAGTAGCCTGTTTATTCCCAGCACGCAGGATCAGTTTACCATCATGCACATCAATAAGTTCCTTGGCGGTGGCAAGAAATGGTCTACCCAGAATCAAAGGCACATCCACATCCTCATGTATATCAAGAATAACAAAATCAACAGGATATGTGAATGCACCTACATTAACTAGCAGATCCTCTATGATCCCCCTAGGATGCACAATGGAACGATCAGCTAGCTGAATGCTAATCCTAGTAGGACTAAGTTCACGTAGGTCTACCTTTTTATACAACTTATATGGCATGTCGTTTATGCTAGCGCCTAGGTCCGCCAAGGACTTGCCTACATGCATGCTGCCAATAGTAAGAGGGATAGTAAAACTCCGTGGGTCCTTGCGCTTTTCGGGCAGCTTGTTCTGCAGGATAGCAGAACACTCCTCGCTCAGCAACACTGTCGAGAGATCCGCAAGTTTCTTCTTGTTGGTGAGGAGATCTTTCATGAACTTCGCGTACTTGGGCATCTTCGACAATGCCTCCACAAACGGTATGCTGATGTTGAGCTGCTTCAACATTGCCATAAAATTGGCAAACTCAGTCTCCAACTTGTCTTTGTGTAGGCGAGTGGGGAAGGGAAGCTGGGGTACATGCTCCTTAACCACTGATTGTGGCTTGGGAGCAGGGGCTTCCTTCTCCACCCGCACTTCTGCATCGTCGCCTGGAAGTGCTGAAGCAGGAAATGGTTCCTCCTGCCTGGCCGGGACAGGATCAGCAAAAATGGTCTTACCGCTCATGGTAAAAATGGTATCCAGCTGCTGATGCTGGTGAGGATCACGAGGATTCGGAATAGTGGTGGCAGGCAGAGTCCCAGGTGCCTTGGTAGTGTTTTGGCGGGCCAAGATACCCACCTGGTGCTGCAGATCTTGCAAGATGGCACCTTGGTTCCTCTGGCCTGCATCCAGTGAGGCTACGCTCTGGTCCAACCTCGTGATAGTTGCCTGAGTGCTAGTCATGAATGAAGCTAGAATATTCTCCAGCTTTGTCATCCGATCATCTGGGGCACGAGCTGCTGCTGGCTCGGCATACTGACGCTGGGGCTGCTGGAATGGTTGCCCCTGCCGAGGCTGGTAGGGCTGCTGCTGTGGGGCTTGCCCCTGTCTCGCCTGGAAAGGCTGCCTCTGCTGAAAACCACCGGCTGGTGCTGGGAAACCAGGTGGTTTAGTGGTGTTGCTGCTCCAGGCGAAATTGGGATGCTGGCGCCACCCCTCATTATATGTGTTGCTATACGGGTCGAGGCGCCGAGCATTGGCGATGAAGTCCAACTGCTCATGGAGAGTAGTAGACTCCCTCATAGCCTGGCAGTCTTCTACTAAGTGATTTGAGCTCTCACACCACTGACATTGAGCTACTGGAGGTGTAGCCAAACCTCTGCCCGGAATAAGACTGTTGGGCTGCTTCAATGTCTGCACCAGCTCAGCTACCTGCTGCTCGAGCCCGGATCTGGTCTCCATGGCGTGAACACCATGGTCCCGGGAATGTCTGCCTCTGCTGCTCTGTCCCCAAGAATGATCTCTGGCAGCCAAGGTATTAATCATCTGGTTCAGCTCGGGTGGAGTCTTAGTAAGAATATCCCCTCCTGGACATAGAGACTCGATCACCCTCTGGCTGTCTCGAGAGAGGGCACTGTAGAAGTTCCCCACTGTGAATGCATCACTAAAGCCATGATGGGGACACTGCCAGAAATATCCCATGTACCGCTCCCAAGCATCACGAAGTGACTCATCTGGCTCTTGGCGCAAGTGAGTGATCTCCCGCTGGATCTCTGTAGTCTTCGATGCCGGATAGTACCTGTGCACGAATTTGTAAGCCAGATCGTCCCAAGAGGTGATGGACAATGGGGGCTGGGTCTCCAACCACCTCTTAGCATTCCCTGCCAGAGAATGGGGGAAGAGATGAAGGCGGATTGCATCATCAGGGACACCATTCAGCTTGAACCCGTTCGTCAGCTGTAGAAAACGGGAAAGATGCACCCTGGCCTCCTCATCCTTCAAGCCATGGAACTGGATAGAAGATGTAATGAGCTGAATCCATCATGGCTTGATCTCGAAGTTGTTTGCTGGAATAGGCGGGTAGAGGATGACTGGGCGGATGTCAGCAATCCGAGGAGTGTAGTAGTACTCCAAGGTGGGACCCGGCGGCGGTGGATGATGATGAGCCCCATGATCCTGGGGTATGGGGTTGTTTCCCAGGACTTGATTCCCCGGGGGAGCCTGCTGAGGATTCCTTTGGTGTTGATTGTACTCTCCGTCCATCCTGTACTCTTCCTCAGAATCGCTGCTCAGGTTGCCGTCTATGCGCTCTTCCGTAGCCAGTCTAGCTCGCTGTTGTCTCCTGAGTTGGCGACAGGCGCGGTCAATCTCTGGATTCAACGGCAGTGAACCTCCCGACTGGCTACAGGTCATGCACTACCTGCACACACTCAAGCAAGCAAACCCATGAAAGCACAAGTGGGACAAAGCAAACAAAGCGAAAAGAAAAGCTAAATTAACAGAAATCACGTTTCTTCAACAACCTAGCCGTCCCCGGCAACGGCGCCAAAAACTTGACTCACTTCTACTGTCACTCCAGGAATTGGCCAAGTGAAACCACTTCCTAAAGTGTAGTATAGCGGGTTTAGGTTTAAATGTCAACCCGGGTCCTAGATTTGAAGACTACTCGGTGAATTCTTGTTATCTAGCAATGAACCTTTAATGCAAGTCTAAACTAACAAACTAACAAAGCAAGTAAACGGTTGTATTCAGGTTAAGAGAGGTCACCCGGATATGGTTCCCCCTAGACTGCAGTTAAGCCGGATTGCAATTCTCAAGTAATGAAGAGTTAAATTGGATGGATTGTAGTTTACCTCGTACCTCTAAATGTGTAAAGAGACACGCTAGCATTTACCAAATCCCAAAAAAAGATGGAACACATAATTATGTTTAAATTGCGTGAACTCAAGGCATGATCAGGATTTTAGAAGCAGAAGCATATCAAAATAAGTAAAACAAAGAACCGCCACTGAGATAGACAATTATCAAAGGCCCAAACCTAATGACAATCCGGTGTTGGTTGAGTCGAGCGCGAGACTCAGGCGAAATTCCTCCTCTTCTCTCTTCGATAAGATCGGACTCCAAAAAGACCCTAACTTCGGCTTTGACAAAATCAAGTGAAGGAAGGTGAATAGAACAGAAAATTGAATCGATGGAAAGGGAAAGTAACTTCTCTGTTCGTGTTTGTCGAATCGACAGCGTATCCTTCACTTGCTCTTGAAACGGGTTGGGCTAATAATGCTATCAGGCTATCAATACTAACTCGGCCCAAAACCCTCAAATGAAACACTGCGTTTTGTGAACACAGTATCCTCTTCCTTGGCTTGACCCAATCGATCAACTACCTATCTTTCTTAAAGAACACACTCACACAGGATCAAGAACACTGACTAGAACTGGAAAATAAAAAGCACAGTTAAGAACGCATAAACCTGGGCACGATATTTTTACGTGGTATCCGGTGTTTGGCAAATAATGAACCTAACACCGACTAATCCACGGTCGAAGGATCTCTGATCCGAGACCTTCGACGTTGCACTAAGATTTTGAGTTTTAGTTACAATGATACAACACCAATCTCGCAGTGACTCCCCGTCACCTGATCAGAGTCGCACTTGAGACACTAGCTCCCCGCCGATATCTCAACCTGACAATCACTACCCTCTACAAGCTCTCTCTCCGACAGCTTCCTCCTTTATCTTTCAAAACACAGAATATCTCCCTGACTCTGTTTTTGAGCGAATAATTGAAAAAGGTGAAACTAGCTTTTCTCCAATCCTCTAAACTTATACCCATCTTCCTAGCCGTTAGTTCATCCCAGTCTTGAGGATTCGATTTGACCTTGATTGATTGTCAAACCGATCTTGATTGATTGAGGGACCTTTTCCAGTTTGCTTGCAGAGACAGAGTTTCCTTCTTTGACCATTTCTCGCAGACTTCCTTAATTGACAAGCTTCCCTTCAACAATCTCCACCTAAGCTTGTCAATGGCTCAACTCAGCAACCTGTACACACTCAGCAAACTGTTGGTGTAGCCTGTCCTAGGAACTGTTGTTGCAAAAGACATTTTATTCATAAAACCAGTCAACACAATAAGTGTGCTTCCTTTATTCAACCATCACAGATAACAAGCACAACAAGCATTTACTTAAACAAACGACAGTTACTACCAACTCATGAATGCAACTGCATCCTTATTTCAAATCTAAAGGAAAACACAGATATTACTCTCATTCAATTGCTATTATTTTAAAAGGGGTATTTGGGAGGGGAAGCATAGCGTGACACCCTGTCCTCATCATCAGAGTTTGTGTCTGGACTTATTGGATCACTGATTTGATTTGTCTCATACACAAACTTTGGCAGCATCAAGTCTTGTTCGAGTAACAGCCTCCTCTTTGGACCACAACGAGAGGTAGCATCTTGTTTAAACGCAGCAGCAGCCGCATTACAAGTGATGAGGAAGCAGCCAATTGAAACTGACTGAGCTGGTTGCTGCGCACTCCCCCTGAGCCAGTGACTGGCTTACGGGGTCCAACCATGGCATCAATGCGATCAAGCACATGCTGTGGACGAAGATCGTCCAAGACATCACAAACGATGACTTTGTCTCGTAGGTCTATGCCTAGAAGTGGTCCACCAAAAGGTAGTGGTCCACCAAAATAACCTAAGCCAAACTTGATCATGTGATGAAACATGAGTGACACATAGCTAACTCGACGCCCAGCACGCGCATTAGATAGTACCCAGAGATCAGCAGAATGAAGAAGATCAATACTGGCTAACTCCCGTGGTAGAAAACAAGAGAAAGATAGAAGAATAGGACCTTAAGGTCGTCAGGAAACCTGCCAGCTGCAAGTTGAGATGGAAACCAGCGCCCAATATCATGAGCCAGCGAGCGAAGAACCTCGTCGAATCGAAAGCCAAAGTTGAAGAACTCCCTATCTGTACCAGCTTGATAGCCAGAATGAGGAAGATGGAGAATTGAGGCCAGAATATCAGGCGTGACCTTGATCTCATAGTCATAGACCAGAGTGGTGAAGAAGGATGGATCACTCCCAGGGCCACAGCGAAAATTCACATAAAATAAGCGCACAGCCTCAGGACATTGGCTGAAACGCAGATTTTCAACCAGGGATTCCCAGCCTAGTCGATGGAGATAGGCAGGGATGTTCATCCCATACTTGGTGAAGGTGGAAGGGTGAATTGAAAAAGATGGGTAGAGATGACGATTGCAGAAGTTTCTGAGATACCTTGAATAGGTCGCAGCATTGCGAAAACTCTGGTTTTTGAACAGAACATGTGACTGCGACTGCACATTAGGGTTCACCATCGTGGTAGTTTGTAGCGAACAGGGCTAGATGTGAGAGGCAAGTGAAGAGTTACGCACAAGTTATACATTTAGAGTGCATAAAATGAAGTAACTTTGAGAGAGAAAATAAGGAATGTGGGGAGTTTTGGCAAGTGTCATTGAAAACAGAGAGGGAAAGAATCTGCAGGAAATCAAAGTGAATTAATTTCGTGCTGAGAGAACATTCCAAGTTCATTTCGAATTGCAAGATATCTGCCCACTGCAACTTAGTACTAATGAATTCTAAGATCACGAATGAAATGATATCGGACGTCTATATGTTTAGTAAGAGAATGTTGGATCGGATTTTTAGTCATGTTTATAGCGCTAGTATTGTCACACAGAATGGGGAGGGATCCTACATCTAGACCATAATCCAGAAGCTGATACTTCAACCATAAAAGTTGTGTACACCCTAGTCCTGCTGCAATATACTCTGCTTCTGCAGTGGATAATGCAACATAACTATGTTTTTTGCTAGCCCAGGAGATTAAGGAAGTGCCAAGGAAGTGACACGTTCCTGAAGTACTCTTCCTATCAATCACACAACCAGCATAATCCGAGTCACTGTAGCCTAGCAGTTCAAAAAGGCTGGATTTTTAGCTTGAAATCTAGCACACACACAGACACTATGCATTATATCTGGTCTACTGGCAGTTAGATAAAGAAGTGATCCAATCATGCCACGATACATCTTATCGCTTACAGGTTCCCCTGACTCATCTACAGACAGTTTCACTGTAGAACCCATTGGTGTCACAGCTGATTTAATATTTTTCAGATCAAAACGTTCTAGGATGTTATTTAAGTATTTAATTTGACTGATAAATGTTCCTCTGTCTGTTTGTTGAACCTGCAACCCTAAGAAACAGTTCAATTCTCCCATTAGGCTCATCTCAAAGGCTCCTTTCATGACAGTTTCAAATTCCTTGCACAACTTTTGACAGGATGACCCAAAAATTATGTAATCAACATATACATGAACAAGTATTGTATGACCATTTACACTCTTAATAAATAAAGTCTTGTCCACAGACCCTTGTCGAAAACCATCATTAATTAAAAAATTACTTAACTTCTCATACCAGGCTCTAGGAGCTTGTTTTAATCCATATAAGGCTTTGTTTAATCTATAAACATGATTTGGAAATTTATGATTTTCAAATCGTGGAGGCTGAGCTACATAAACTTCTTCTTTCAAGTCTCCATTAAGAAATGCACTCTTAGCATCCATTTGAAAAAGTTTAAACCTTTTAGAGGCTGCAAAAGCACGCAATAATCTGATTGCTTCTAGTCTAGCTACAGGAGCAAAGGATTCATCAAAATCTATTCCCTCCTCCTGATCATATCCTGTTCCAGAAGCCTAGATTTGTTTTTAGTTCTGTCTCCAATTTCATCTGTTTTATTTTTGTAAACCCACTTAGTCCCAATTATAGGTTTATCTTCTAGTTTTGGAACTAGTTCCCAAACTTTTAACCTTTCAAAATAACCAATTTCATCATGCATTGAAGCTGTCCATAACTCATCATTCAAGCCTTCTCTAACATTTCTAGGCACTATCAAAGACACAAATGCAGTCTGCATCGATGACAGTTTAGAGCGAGTGACCATACCTTCTCTTAAGTCACCAATACCCTGAGAAGATGGATGTCGTTTCTAGATGTGCAATGGTGCTTGCTTAGTGTCATTCCAGGCATTCCCTTTTTCAATTTCATCACCCACTGCTTCTGAATTATCTTCATCTCGGTCCTTTCCTTCTGTCTGCCTTTCTTGTTCTGGCAGATGTGATCTCCCTAGTCCCAGATCGTCATCCTCTTCAATCTGTTCTGCACACTTTATAGGAGACTCATCAAACACAACATTTATGGACTCCTCTACTTTGAGGGTCCGTTTATTATAAACTCTAAATGCCTTGCTATGTGAGGAATATCCTAATAATGTTGCTTCATCAGACTTGGAGTCGAATTTTCCCAGGTTATCTTTCGTATTCAACACAAAACATTTGCATCCAAAATGATGAAAATATCCTAAGTTTGGTTTTCTGTTTTTCCAGATTTCATAAGGTGTTTTGTTTAACTTAGACCTAACAAGAGCCCTATTGAGAGTATAACAGGTTGTGGTTATGGCTTCTGCCCAAAAGTACTTTGGCAAGCCATAATCATTTAACATTGTTCTTGCTATGTCAATCAGGGTACGATTTTTCCTTTCCACTACTCCATTTTGTTGTGGAGTTCTTGGAGCGGAAAAATTGTGGATTATTCCAAATTCTTCACAGAAGCTTTCAAAATTGTCAGAAATGAACTCACCTCCATGATCACTTCTCACATTTACTATTTTGGTTTCCTTTTCATTTTCTAATCGCTTGACCAGATTTTTGAAATGCAAGAAGGTTTCTCCTTTATTTGCAAGAAACAAGACCCAGGTAAATCTAGAAATATCATCCACTATGACACATGCATAATATTTTCCTCCTAGACTCATCACATTACTTGGACCAAACAGATCTATGTGTAGAAGTTCAAGAGGTCTAGTTGTAGAGATTACTGGCTTACTTCTAAATGTAGATCTAACCTGTTTTCCCTTCGTACAGGCTTCACAGAAAAAATCCTTTTTGCTGCTTATTCTGGGTAGTCCTGTTACTATATTCAAACTCGTCAATTTAGCTAATGAACCTACACTGATGTGTCCCAATTTCCTATGCCATTCTAACTGATCATCTTCATTGACAGAAACCAGACACATTTCATTAAAGTCGGTTTTGTTTTCCAAGTTTATACAGAACAACTTCCCTTTTATTTTTCCTGTAAACAAAACTCTATTATCTTCCATATTTTCAACATAGCACTTACTTGGTTCAAAAATTACTCTATTGGATTCACCACACATTTGGTTTATTGAAAATAGGTTGTGTTTCAAGCCATCTACCCACTTTACATTTTTAATTACTGGACCAGTTCCTATTTCTCCCTTTCCTAAGATATTAGTGCAATAATTATCTCCAAAGTATACCTTACCTTTCTTACCCTTAACGAGTTTAGTAAAGAGTTTTTCGTTTCCTGTCATGTGATGTGAACATCCGCTGTCCAGTATCCATTCACTGTCTTCCATGCTCACTTGGAAGCAGACCTGGACATCAATAAGTTATTTTGATTTCCTTTTAGGTATCCATACCAATCTAGGTACTCCTACTCTCGTTTAATCATCAGTACAGTTATAACTCATGTGCCCTTTATTATGACAAGAAAAACAAGTCACCTCCTTCAGTCTGGCTTCTTTAGATATTCGTTTATGAAAGTTTGCAATATAATGTCCTAGTTTATGGCAATAGAAACATTTAGTAGTTGACTTGTTCTGACTTGTTCTAGTCCCTACAAAACTAGTATAGCCCTTGGATTTGTTATGTCTGATCTCAGCAACTTCTGCTTCTAATTCTGTATTTCTGGTTTCCATTTCCATCAGCTTTTCATCTGTTGCCATTTTTTCTTTCAGTAGCTCATTGTACCTGTTAGATAGTTTTTCAAATTCTGATTTGATTCTTAAGTGTTTGGCTTTCACATTAGCAAATTCTGTTTGAATATCCCTAATGGTGTCTATTAGTTCATCATTCTCACTATAAGAATCAGAATAGTAATTAGAATTTCTGACCTGAGAAGTTTCATAGTTGTCTTCACTTTCGTCAACTGCCATGTAAGCTTCATACTTAGGCTCTATCTCCTCGTCCTCATCTTCACTGCAACTCCAAGTAGCTACAAATCCCTTTTCTCGTTTGATTTGGGGGCATTCTACCTTGATATGCCCACTCCTACCACACTTGAAACACCCTGCTGATGATCCTATCTTCTCATTTCCATGTGTTTCTTTTCTGTTCTTCGTGCTCGTTCTGTAAGGCTTCAACTATTCCTTTTCTGAGTCTCCTTCTCTTGTTCGACTTGGAAATCCTCCTCTTCTCTTTTCTTTGCGTAGTCAAAGCAGTTTGGCCACATGTTTGCTTAACATGCTCAGCTCTTCTTCCTCCATATCTTCCAGACAGTCCAAGTCTTCATCTGGAGCTGAGACCTTGAAAGCTATACTCTTCTTGTCTTTTCTGGGCTCTTCATTCTCTTCCCTCTTCAGCTTATCTTTGTGTGTACCCAGTGACCCCATGAGCTCATCCAGACTTAGTGTGGTTAAGTCTTTTGATTCTTCGATCGCAGTGACTTTGGGTGTCCATTTTTTTGGCAGCGCCCAAAGTACCTTTCGCACCAGATCACCACTTGCATATTCCACATCTAGATTTCTCAGGCTGTTTACTATAGTAGTAAACCTGTCTTGCATCTCCTTGATTGATTCATCAGGCTTCATCACGAAGGACTCAAACTCTTGCTTCAATTGATTAATCGTGGAAATCTTGACATGGGATGTACCTTCGTGGGCAATTTGCAACTTATCCCAGATTTCCTTCGTTGTTTTGCATCCTGTGACCCGGTGATATTCTTCTGGGCCCAGAGCGTGTCGTTGCTTTTGAGTTCGGCTGAAAATTCTTCTTATCTTCTTCAGTCCATTTGCCTCGTCCATGCTTTACTTCGAGCGGTCCGTCAAGCACTATGCTCCATAAGTCAGGATCAATTGACCCGATAAACAGCTCCATACGATTCCGCTAATACCCGTAATGCACACCTTCAAACCTCGGAGGTCTTGCCTGTGAAAACCCGTCAGCCATGTAGATTCCTCCTGGATTCGTGCTCGAGCTCATCTTCTCCGTAGGTGATTAGACCTCTTGTGCCGGAGCCAGGCTCTGATACCACCTGTTGGTTGAGTCGAGCGCGAGACTCAGGCGATGTTCCTCATCTTCTCTCTTCGATCAGATCGGACTCTGAAAAGAACCCTAACTTTGGCTTTGACAAAATCAAGTGAAGGAAAGTGAATAGAACAGAAAATTGAATCGATGGAAAGGGAAAGTAATTTCTCTATACGTGTTTGTCGAACCGACAGCGTATCCTTCA